TATATATATATATATATTTATATTTATATATATGTATCAGTTCAATGCCACACCATCGGCAGAAACCTCTAAGTGAAAACAATGTCATAAGAGGAAATACTAATTCTTAAAATAATTTTGAACTATTTCAGAATGGCTTATTTACACTTGAAATTCATATTCCAATATCAGTGTAAGAAAGAAAACTTTCTATTAAAATTGCTACCATGAAAGCACTAAATATGTTGAGTGACATCACACATACATTCTATCCAAAATATCAGTTCAGTTTTACACTGCAAGAAAAGCCAGTTCAGTGAAAATTAAATTTTAAGAATATAGCAAAGCTCTGATCATTCTTTCTTCCCTCCCCTTTATCATAAGATCAGTTCGTTTCAAACAAAACCAGTCTAATGCACTGTATAAAATCATTTAAACCAAGAGTTAGTTTACTTCTACTGAGTTCCCCATACTTCCATAATGGTCAGGATGAAATTACAAGATATTACTTCTGTTAAGTACAAAGGAATGAACATGCTGTACGATTATACCACAGGAGACTGATACAGGCATAACTGACTAGATAACTGAACAGATATGATAAATGAATTTGTTTGATTAGTTATGGAAACACGAAGAAAATGCAGCATTATGATATAAACTGCTGGCAGTGAATACGAGATCTGTTTCAGGAAAATGTTCATAAATATAAAACACGAAAAAATCTTGAATATACTTCCTCCATGTTCAGTGTGTTGAATTTACATGCTTTAAATAAACATTAAAGTTTCTTTGTCAGCAGTAAGAAACTGTTCAACCTTTTGCAACATGAAAACTATACATCTTTACAACACTTTCTCCACTTCATCACTTTCTTACATGAACATCTGAATGTCTACACCGAATTTAAATGACCCAATGAAAGTACCAAATCACTTCCTTTTCTCCATCAGTATCACACCACAAAAGCAAAATCATTCAGGATACCTCAGTCTTCTACTAGGTGATCTATTATTATCAATTCTGATCTGTAAGCCTGATTACCATATCTCATTAAATATCTGATATATTTTTACAAATTCTGATTTGTCATTACCATAAATCATCAAATATGTGATCTCTCATTATACACATTCTGATCTGTAAGCACAATTACCACAAATCATCAAACACGTTATTACACATTTACTTTTTTCAACATAATGGACTCATTGTACATTTTCCCATCCAGAAACAGATCACCTCACAAAGCTGACCTATTTATATGTAAATAGCCATGTAGCTACAGACCTCTCCAGTTTCGATATACTTCTGAATCATGCCTTCGGCTATATAAACTATAATCCAGGGAATCCAATTCATGTGTCCAAGGACCTATTAATTTTCAGTTATTCTTTTAATTCAATATATACAAGCATTATAAAGTATGTTCTGCTACTGAAGTAGTAGCTCATTTACAATTCCCTTCTACTAGAATGTCAAAATTCTGAAATTTAAGTGAATGGTAATTTTGAAAACTTTTTGTAAGTTTTGAGGTTTTCACGGCGATGACAATGAAGAAAGTTGTCTTCTGGGTTTAGGCACCGTGTATTCTTCGTTTTGGCCGACGTTTCGGAGGAACGTAGCGCCTCCATCTTCAGAGCAGTTGAATAGCTGCGGAGAGCAGTAGCTGTCACAGCTACTGCTCTCCGCAGCTATTCAACTGCTCTGAAGATGGAGGCGCTACGTTCCTCCGAAACGTCGGCCAAAACGAAGAATACACGGTGCCTAAACCCAGAAGACAACTTTCTTCATTGAAAACTTTTGTTCTGACATGGGCCAAAAGAACATTCTAAATTCTGAACTGGTCATGACACGATACAGAAACACGGACATTGCTCTTCAAAAGTTCCAGAACCAATATGAACACAAATGGCAACAATAAAGTTACAAAGTAACGAAGGAAAAGGCATGTTCATATGTTCAGAAATGAACAAGATTTTCATAATTCAGTGAACTTTATGCTATGTCCAACTGCCACAGCAAACAACACTTCTGGCAATGCAATGTAGCCCTTTAATTTAACACACTAATGAACACATATCTGGCTAGCTTCCATTACTTTTGCTGGAATGAGTACTGTGCATATGATTGACATCAGAACTCTGTCCTGATGTGGACTTCCTTCTGTGAGACAGAGCGGCCACTTCTGGCACAAGTGATGACACTAAGCCTTGAGAGTTATGTGAAGCCAAAACTTGACTTTTACTACCACTCTGATCAGAAGTGGAAGTAAGCTGATGGAAAGATTTTCTTCTTAAAGGTGGCAGTGTTTCTAAATGACTCTGTGTTGCAGTATTCTGCTGACCAAGAGATCTTCTCCTCTGCTGCAGCAGTACGGACTCTCCTCCACCAACATTTGCTTGGGAGACTAAACTTGATGCTGACTTCCTCCTCTGCTGCAACATCACTACAGAATCTCCTGACCCCACTAACGTTTGTCCTTTCAACGAATTCTGCTGTATATTACCAAGAGGTAAAGACTGTTGAGTAGAAGTTTGTGTGGTTTTGCGTTTCAGTTGAGAAGAGTCCATAGAATTGGATGCAGCTTGTCCTTTGTGAAGACTGCTGCAAGATGGTGTGGACTTCCTCCCTTGGCTATGCAGTGACATCATTTGACCCTTTGTAGTACTATGCTGTTGAGCCCCTCCCATCTGCATAGACTGCAACATTGTCTTCCTTCTGAGACTGGGTTCAACAGAACCAGTTTTCTCCTGCTGGTTGCTCTGTCCATTACTGTCTCCAGCCAGCCAATGTCGCCTTTGAGCTTGCCATGAATTCTGTAAGACCTCCTTCACCTCACCACTTTCTCCAATTAGGTCCTGTAAACGTTGTATTGTCGTGTACAAAGTAACAGGACTAACCAAACCAAAGTCAAACAGACTACACATATGAAGCACAAAATTGCGATAAAGATTCTTGAGCAGCAGTTCTTGTCCTCTGACTTCCAGGAACATGGTGCAAGCTAATGGTATCTGACAGTCACCAACATATCTGCCAAACAAAGAACACACATTTTACTACATGCACCAGAAGTTATGTTAGTTCAAGAAATTTTTGTTCAAATATGCATGTAGGGAGAAAAATCCTGATTACAGAGCATGCCAGAAAACAAATCAATAAAATGTACTTAACCTATTACGGTTTTTAAAAGTATGGTTGTAATGCCATGTAGCTTGGACAAAGCTTGCAGAGGCACATACTGCCTACATCTTCAGGGTCGACACCTGGTTTTGGTACATGGACCATATCAGCAGGGAGGTGACTGAGTTCCGGCCCAACAACATGAACTGAGAGGATGCCTTCTATTTCAGTAAATCATGAAAATCTCTCATTTCCTCCCTAAAGGAACACAGAAGACCTAACTTGTAGGCTTCTTGTGATAGGGTCCATCAGGCCATCTGGCCTGCATACACTATCCTTTCAGGGTACCCTTAGTCCTAGTCTTCCTTGACTGCTTCTACCACAGCTTATCCCTTCACCCTCTTTGCCTTTCCTGCTGTCTCTTAATACTCATATCCCTGTCCAGCCTCATCCCTAGAGATGCATGTGACTTTCTTCTACTTCTGCCATCACTCAGCACGCAACTAGTTTCTTTTGTTCCCACTGGCTGTCTCACAGTTCCTTTCAGCTTCGGACTGGCCTATATCAAGCTTGATTTTCCACATGTGGTTCACTCAGCTTGCCACCTGCTTCTGTTGGTTTCTTGCTTGGCTTATTCTTTTACCCTGAAGACCGAAGTAATATACTCCCCGGAAACATTGGGCTTTCTCTAAACTACACAGCATTACAACCCAGAAGACTATACCATTAACAGTCACTGCTGTGACAACCTCAAACCCAACCTATTATGATTTTATCTTCATATATCTTTGATTGATTTCAGAGTTGTGGGATTTAAGGTTTTTATGGTGATCACGGTGATGCTGTGTAGCCTGACAGACGTTTTCCAATGTTTCCGAGAAAAAGCCAAGCAACCAAGCAGCAAGCTTCCTGCTTACTTGGATAACTCTTTGACTCTGAAGATGGAGGCAGTATAGTTCTCTGAGACATTCATAAACTTCTACCAGACTATATTTTGTCACATCCAATTAAAGAATATTGTTCACACACACACAAAGTTTTTAACTAAAAAGGAGAATTGCATGTTGATCTATGGATGAAAACAGATGGCACACCAGTGTCTAACCTCATACTCTGACTGGCACAAAATAAAATGCACTGTGTTTATCATACTATTCCATAACAATTGAAAGATTTCGATATGCCATCACTGACACAGTATCTGAGACTAACCAACTGTAGAACACGGGTAAATAAAATAAAGGAGACATTTTTTTTTGTGTCTCTGAGACATATACTCATGTAAAGGATTTGTACTGCTGCCTCATATGCAGGTTGGGCAGGTCAGATCCTTCTCTGCATAGTAAGAGACACAGTAGATTATAATGGGGAGTTACCAGCTTCCTGAGGATAGTGTCAAACAGACAGACATTCACTACCATATGTAAACAACTGTATATTACATGCAACATCACAAAGACACAACTCTGGAGGATGGACTCAGTCCCCTAGTCACAACAGATGTACATGTAGCAGCTTGGCCAAGGAACTCAACCAGTTTGTCTTCACCATCTTCCACTAAAAGTTGAAGTATAAGGTGTTACCAGCCGATGTCCACAATGGCTGCAAGGGGCCACTCTCACAGTTAACGCATTGAGGAACAGTAAAACTTACTCCCTGAAGCTGAGACTGTCTTGAGAAGCCACCATGGGTGCAGTTACTCAAGAATTTCCCAACAATTTATGGAACCCAAGGTTTCTTACTGTGTTCACAAGAGCCCACAACTGATCCCTATCCTGAGCCAGGTATTCAGATGACATTGATGACATCAGGAGTAATACAACAGCAGCTCTGAAGGCCATTCCACAAAACCAGTTCCAAAATTGTTTTGAAGGGTGGACTAGGCACTGGCATCATTGCATAGTTTCCCAAGGGGAGTAGTTTGAAGGCAACCAGAGTAATATTCAGCAATGAGGTATGCAGTACTTCTACCGCGATGAGTTTGCAAACTTTACTGTCAGACCACGTATGTTGTAACCTATACTTTAATCCATATTATTCTTACCTAAGTCCATGAAGCACAGTCTTATTAAGGAGCTTATAGTTAGTCTGCTGGGCAAGATATACAAAACTGAACTGAAGATGCATCCCAAAACATTCTCAAAAAATACAAGTATATGTTCCTTACTTCAAGAAAATGACAATTTACAACTGCCCAGAAAAAATTTCAGATCTAAAAAGGAGGAAGTAAGTGAACAATTTCATACATTATGTAATGAAAGACTACATGATTTTTTTCAGGTCAAGTATTGTTAGAACAGAGAAATCTGGGAGGCTGATGAGCTGGACACGTGGTTAGACTGAATACATACTGAACTCTGATCACAAAGCCAACTGGGAAACATTCAGCAGATCAAGAACATGCAAAAGTAATATTAAAACGAATATTACAGGGGGAGCTTGAGGATGTGAGGTTGATTGTGTCTGAAGGTGGGATTTTGTATTAGTGGAGTTGAGCCTTTGACTACTGTTATCAGACTGACAGGAATAAAACTGTTACAATTAGTTTCTCTAGAGATCATTGTACAAGGGTCTTATATTCAAACAACAGTATGCAGTATGTCTCACTGATATATTTTGCGAACTTCATCACTTGAGAAACTACCTATACACACTGATCATTAGAATTTATACTGCACTGGAACAGAAGAATAAAAAGATGATATGGACACACAGGCCACAGTGAAAATGGAGAAAGACCATTACTCATTGGGGAAACAAACAGACGGATTCTCAATGACATTTGGCCTCACATCTATATGGACCTAAACCAAATTAAGCTTTTCTCACCCATGTTTCATAACATGGAGATTCCACATCTTCATCAGTTCCTTCTCGCCTTCATTGACATCAGTGAAATCGTCAATCATCATCATTGTCTTAGTCTGCAGCCATTTAGGATCATGTTCTCCTTCTGAATCAACATCCATTTCTTTTGGGTAAATTGGCAAACATGTAGTTGTATGATGATACAGCCTGTAATGAAATGATAGCAATGACAGTGTTGGAAATTACAATGCACACATTAGTCAAGATGGCCAACATTCAAAAAATAAATTATATTATTGACATGCATTAAGCTTTTAACAACAGTAAATGGAATCTACACTACCCAAAAGAGACATGTACAAGTGACAGGTAAGACATTACCTCTACACAGTAGGAAAAATTCTGTGGTATTTTTCATTGCTAATGAAACTTACTGTCTTATGCTAACACTGTCAGTATTAGTGAGAGAATCCATGCTATGAGGGATTACTAAAGTAGAGCTTATGCAAAAAGACAATAACCAGCCATCTGCCTGAGGAGATAGGGAAGGATACAAATTAAGTTTCCACAGGAGATGAAACTCAGTTTTTGTTCATTTACTTTCTCAAAAGATTTACCAAACCTTTCTGCATACAGTTGTTCACCTGTACAATACCTGTTATGGCCTGTAATGTAGGGCCGTTGTCCATCAAATTCATTTTCATCAAGTTCCAGAAACTCTGACAGGCTAGGTTTGGGTCGTTTTGGACGACAAACAAGGATGTTGGATACAGATGTCCTCCTCACAGGACCATTGCGAGAAAAAGCAAATCCTGGAGGTTGTGAGATGAGGTCATGAGGGCTCCCAGTATATGACCCATCATAACATTCATTAATAGCTACATCAATGCGAGCACCCTGTGGTATTGGCTGAAAGAAAACACAATGAATTCACGTAAATTATTAAACAACAGGCACTAACTGCAATTTCAACTAAGACTTCATGTATCATCATCAGTGTATCATTAAAGTACCCACTGTAGATGGAAAACAAGAAGACATTTGAACCACAGACATGTACTCTCAGCAACATCCAGTAAGTGGTCTGATCTATAATAATGTGAACCGAGTGGCAACCACACAGAATCAATGTGAGAGCAATTTCTCCATCTCCTACATTCTTGGGTCACAATTTGATGTAAGGTTATCTAGGGTAAAGCTATCTTCAGGCTACCCAGTGCACAAGGGCATAAAAGCGTATGGGGAGTAGAGTTATAGCTCCATCATTAACCTCGGTGCTAGCTGGAGGTGGGTGGTAAGCTTCACACTCCTACTGCATTACCTCACGGAGACAGTGCCTGGTACCACATTTTTAAGGCAAGAGTTAAAATTTAGTTTGTGTGATTCTTTGCATTATAGTTTCAGTGACAGTTCCATCAGTATCCACCTGCTTTTTTTTTTTCAGCAAGAGCTTCCCCCCCCCAAAAAACCATAATCTCCTTATTCTGGAGAAGGATTTTCATTATTACATTCCATAACCATAAAATGATATTTGTGAAAATCTTATTTCCATCCCAAAATTAAAACTTTCAAAAAACATAATTTATTTACAATCTACAATAGTCTGAACAGTGAGTGTGAATATGCCGTCTTGTGGATTATGGCATCACGTAGTTCGGTAGATATTTATTAGTGTTTTGCAGACATTTGTTGCCTCTATATGCAGGGTAGCACGCTGAAACTCAAGATAGCATGTTCCTCCATAATGCTGTTAAATATCTGTCAGACTTCAAAGCATCACTTTCCAGCAGAAGCAAATTTTCACAGTTAATTTAGTTTCTTAAATGAAGCAATCATGTACAACTCGTACCAAAAATGGCCATACAATGCACACACAGGACTTTCTTTTGTGATGCCCGTTAATAAAGTCTTCAAGTAAAATGTAAAGTTGTCCTTGTGCTTAACTAAGTACTACACTATGAAGACGTACGGGTGAATGGATGTATAGATTTAGGTATTCTTGAGCTCAGCAGTAGCTCGAGGTGAGTGGTCAGCTTTGTAGTGAAACAAGACCTCGAGGAGTATTCTTGCGATGTCATTTAATGACTCAATGTCGTAACTACAATTCAACGGAACCATAACACAAAATGTTTAACAAGTCATTTCACAGTCACTCCTTTTGTGTTAACAACTCTCACTGGACTGTAGAAGTACTCTGCTCTCCGTGCTTGCTAACCACTGGCTTCTGTCTGCCTCCACAGGCTTCCACTATCTTCTGTCGGCACCGCTGGCTTCTCTCAACACACACGCACATTGCCACGCTCGGTCTTCAGCTGGCTTCTTATACTGTTCCCTGTTGCCCTAGCAGCAGCAGCATCCGCTGTTACGTCACAGCAGGGAAGTGTTTACTGGCCTGTTGCCCCCAGCAGCAGCAGTGGATCCTATGCTGTTATGTGACTGCGGGGAATGGTTTACCCGCAACGTGCGCGTTATAACGTCAAGTTGAGTCCAAGATTCCCAACAAGCTTCATGCACCAGCTGCTTTATCCCCAGGGAAGTGCCCTCAGTTCCCACTGGATAGATGGCTAGGCGGGACCCAGAACTTGTCTGGACAACATGGGAGAGGAGATAAATCTTAACCCTGCTGGGACTCAAACTCTGACCCCTTGGTTATCCAGCCCATAGCCAGTCACTATATCAAATGCACTATCCCAGCTCCAAGTCTTCAAATACATGGATGAAAAGACCACATCAGGCAAATTCTGCGCTTCCCCTCCATCCCAGAGGATCAATGACAAAGACATTTTGTTATTTGCACTGAATGGATCCACAAATAACCAATTCCATGTAGCAGAGTTCTACCTCAGAAGTCTGTCCAGAAATTCCCCACCTTTTACTGAACCTGAAGATTTATTACTAAGAGTGCACCACTGGACACTCATGAGTCAGCTGAATTGCATTCACATCCTCACAACCCATTTCTTCAAATCTGGTCTCAGTTCTCCCAAAAGTCACATCCCTTGGGCTCTGGCCTAAAGATGCATTATGTATTTCTCATTTCTCCTACACAAGTTTGAGGTTCTCATTGCTGCAATTGTGCTTGCCTACTGCATTCCGGGGTATGACACTGTGTAGTTTCATACTGTCTCATGTTAGTGAACAGACAAGGGGTTTAGAGTGATAACTGGATTTAGTGAATGCTTAAAATTCACAAATATAAGGGATTATAACACTCCCACTAAACCTACACACACTGCAAATCATTACAGCACACACTAAGTCTTCTAAGTTTGTTACCTCTTCAATAGAAGTTGCTAGGTAGTGCCTTCTAACAATGGAGATTCTTCTGCTTCATGCTCATGGTCAACCACCAACTGTGAGTGCTCATTCACAACTGATGCTAACCTCCAAACTGACTAACCAGGTATTATTATTATTATTATTATTGGAGGGGGGTGGGTTTCCCCATGCACCACGACTAATAGTCTACTGTACGTCCCCCTTTGATATTCTACCAGTCACCATGCCCTTCCGGTACTGGTGCTCACTATCAGCCCCATTCAGCCAGCGAGGTCAGCCACCTATCTGGCAGTGGTCCCCGATACTTCCCCATCTACCAGAGGAATTGGAAACTACTTGGGCAGGAAACTTTGCCTAATTTTGCTCAGAGGTCTCCTAGAGACATGAGGATCTTTTACGTGCCGTAAATCTACAACACGGGACACACAGCTTAAAGTCCCTCCCAGAGGACTTGTTCCCTGAATTTTTCTGCCCTTAAAAATTCCACGACCTCTGCCAGGTTTGAACCCGCGTACCTTGAGTCATGAGGTGGGAACGTTACCCCTAGACTATGGAGGCCGCTGACTAACCAGGTAAGTCGGGCTTGGTAAATTTCTGCTAGCTCTCGCCAGCACACTCATTCTTGGTTCCAAGACCCACACGCTCATGACTACATTTTACTGTCTCACAATCCTTGGAGTTGTCACGAACTACCGATTAACAAATCAAAGTCAAAGTCAAAGGCTGGCAGTTTACTGTCAATCAGTTTGTATTGGCATCAAGCCCCTTGAGAACCATGACCAGCCCTTATGTAACATCCTCTATGACAAGAAATTGGGTTTGTCTTTTATGAACATGCTTAGCCTTTAATCATGTGTATGTATTGCACATAAAGCATTTTACTGAAAATTTTTCCCTTTGCACTATACACAAGTCCTCTATCAGTACAGGCTTTGCAAAGCAGATCATGCCTATCTTACATATCTTATACTACAACAGCAGCTTAGTTGCTTGAATGGTCATAAGCTTGACCACCACCAAGTTTAAAACCCTTGTATTTTCTATGTCTGGCTTCACTTTTCTTATATTACGAACGTGTTCATTCTCATGGTTTTGTATGACTTCTGCTTGTTGCCTGCACAATTTTGTTACATAATCGTAGACATATGGAAGGTTGAAACCTGCGTGCAAATTGTGGACCAGTGTGCATCTTGCAAAATTTTGAGTACCAGTTCAGTCATCAATGGCTCCTCCCTATTCAACGTTGGGTCATCACGAATACAAGATGCTACCGCCAACAGTTCCTCTATTGCTGCATGCTTATCCATCTACCGTAATTACGACTGACGGTCAGTCAGTCAGTCAGTCTGTCTTGGGATTAAGCACCCAACTTGGTCTTAAGACCAGATTTTTAATACTGTCAGACAGCTGCAGGTTTGTTGATGTGGGGCACACTCTCTGACGAGAGGACGGGTCTATCACTCACAATTGCTGCTGGCCCTCGCCAATGTAGTCATTCTCGGATCTGAGTCCCGCAAGACTCAGAATTGAGACTTCCTTTTTCGTCGCCTCCTATGACTCACAGGGCTATGGTGGAGGTATTCGACCCTGCCTCCACATGGGATTATCAATTAACTGTTGGTTTCAGTCTGTTATATAGCCTTGGCATGGACCACAGAAAACACAGCTCCCAACAGTTCCTCAACTGCTGTGTTTACTTGTTGCACCAGAAACTCATTTATTGTGCTGCTGCCTAGCAACAGCCTGTGTATTTGATGATGCAGAAGCTTGTTTACCAACCACTGCCTAGCAATGGTCATCTCTTCTTGTTCCACTATTCTAGCCTTCAGACATAGTGTCATAACATATTGTTATAATGTTTCAGAGGAACATGTTGCCTCCATCTTCAGGATACTCTATAGATGGAATCCAGCAGATTGTTATTAACATTTCACAGGTGCCAGCAACAATTTAACACTCCACACAGCATCACATCCAAGGGGGCAATAATCTTAAAACTTTAATTTTCTAAATACAGAACAGAAAGATAAAATATCTGAACCAAATGGTAGCAAGCAGTCCGCAAATTTAACCTGCTATTAGTTTCTATGCAAAGGTAATTTTTATTATTTCTGTCTCACTGTTTTCCTGCTCTTCTTCCAACTCAAGGACTGGGTGCTACACTGTACTGCTGTTGCCAAACATTTGAGGCATTCATTGGCCATTATTATATTACAAATTTGCTCTTCATTCTGCTGACAAAGACACAAACGCATACGATAACATGAACAGTACAAAGATTATACGTTCTCTTTTATATTTTCACCGTGTATCTTATAGTTCGTGTAGTTATAAGAAAACCACGTATCAGAACAATATGAATGTGTAAAATACGTTTAACATCAAAATCATGGTGTGTATATCTATATATATATATATATATATAGATATATCCTGTAAACCTAAGAAGAATGAAATCAATGGCAGCCCTAATACAAGATGGGCAACTGTAGAGTACGATGCCATAAAACATATTCTTGTTTTGTCTATATTATCTCCTACCAGTATCAGAAGTGGGAGAAGCTGTTCATGAAGCCTCCCCATGTTTTCAGTGGTGCACAATCCTTCTCATTCGAAGGAGTGATGCTACACATTCACAAACACATTCTGAGATACATATGGGATAGTAATATCACAACATCCAACAACTTTCAAACCGACTATCCCCAGTATAAGGTTTGGAGCTTTTAACATTTCCACCACATAACATATTGAAAGACTTATGCAGGAAGTCATAAAAATTAACTAGTGTCACAGGTTTATGTCACCATATATGCTTAAACACTGGAGAGCGCCCATTTCTAACAGTTATGTGTATGACAATGTAAAGTTATAGTATGGCTTCAAAGCTTAGAAATTTTATAACAATTGGTGACAGCATAAATGGGAGCAAAAGATAAAAGCTGTTAAAATTTACCTGTTTTATTGGTGAAGTTCAAAGTATGCCCCATTCACCACTCTGCATGCGGTAATCCATTTGGATTTCAGACCCAACATCATCCAGTTTTTTACTTTAAAAGGTCCATATAATCGATTTCCACACTTGACACCACCTATTCTCCACAGTTCCGTAACTGAAACTCCAGCAGAGCAAAATCTGAAGATGAAAGTGGCAATATACTGCCCATCAAATCTTCACAGACTCTCTCTGTTTAAGCAAGTGGGAATCCATCAAGTTCAGATTTCTTCATTATCTTTAGTTTGTGATAACATATGCTGTTCTAATGTGTCCACAGACTTCATGAAGTCTAAAAATATTTTTCTATGAGGATGACTGGAAGATGTTTTAAAAATCTGACACCTAGAGCTCCAAATTTTACTCTCTTTCTTGTATTCATGGGGTGATGCAAAGAAAAGTGTAGTCTAGGCTAAAAATCAATAACATGGACCACCTAAAGCAAAGAATCAGTGATGGAGCCATATCTATAATTTCAGATAAACTACTCATACATCTGATAGGGCAAGGACTGGAATACAAAATGACAGTGTACAGTGATGGCTGGCCTTACAATGAACTTCACAAAACTTTCAAAATTCCTCTTTCATTTCATGCTTCACAGCATTGTCACAAGGTAGATAATCATGAAAATGACAATATTATTTTACAGCCACACGGTACATCTGCAATTACTTCCTGCAGTACTATGAAATCTACATCTATACTCATTGAATAATACTGTTTTCCTGTGAGCAACTGAAAGCTACGTGAGATCTGACAGTCTTATAGTGGTGAGTATTAAGAATCCTTGTGGGACATGATGACATGTATTTGGTACCTAGGCACCTATACTCGTGCTTTGGAAGAACTTGCTTCCTTCATCCTTAGAGTTGAAGAGTGAAGATGGAGGCAGCAGATTCCTCTGAAACACTGGTACCTATACACCAAAATAAAAAGCACCATGCCTCACAAGACCATAATTTGAACTGTAGAAAAATTACAATTATTTTCAATTTGTTCTGGCTCAGATCATCATCAATAATTATGGGCAGCAAAATGTAACTTACCACATATGTAAAAGTAAACCTGGAGTGACAGAGCTTGAGGTGCTTTAGAAGGGCATACAAAGAAACACAATCCAAAGAACACCAGGGGCAGTGAAGGTCCTCACAGGCCTCTGTTTGTTGTCGGCTGTTGTTGTTGTAGAGGAACTGGTAGACTATCTGCAACCTCTGTGGCTCCTCAACTTGGCACACCCGTCCGCTGCCGCCACTTACAGACATAGTTGTGGCGCTTGTGGCAGTGCCATTGGTGATACTGCCGCCATTGTTATTACTCCCACTACTGCTGTTGCCATTGCTAATGTTGCTGTTGTTGTTATTGCATCTCTCTGTCATAACAAGAGGAACAAGTACAAACTGAAAAGCAATCAATTTGCATTGACACATTTTACGTCAGGTTCGAAGTTCTCATAGTGGTGACCACAGATAGTATCATTTTCAGGGATGTCACACCATGAAGAACAGAAGAAGGAAGCAAGCATCATGTCTGCTGCTTGCTTCACTTAATGTCTGACACTGAAAATGGAGAAACCACATTTCTCCAAACTTAAAGTTTCACATTCCAGAAGACAGTACTAAGTAGCAGGAGATAAATCTACAGACTCTTGAGGATATATTTTCAAAACAGTATACTGTTTTTAGACAATACCTCAACTGCCACCTTTCCAAAAGAAAAAGAGACTTGGGTGTTACCTGAACTAGCAGTAGTAGCTACATGTTTTGTTGGGGCGTGAGGGGAGATAAGTCGGTGATCCTTGCTGTGACTACGATGATGGTAAGATGGCAATGTAGTCAATGAGAAGCGACACCAGCAACAATAGTGTGGCATATTTGTTCAAAGCAAGAACTGTGGAGCCACAGAAACAGCTGCTGCTAGCAAACAGCTCTGATACAACATTCGTTTCTAGGCAATGGCCACAAAACAGACAATGGAACAATGTCCGTTGCTAGGCAGCAGATTCTTAATAGGCAAGAACAGACAACTGCTGCTATGGAACGACTCAGTAAACATATTCTCATGGAAATAGCATATGAGAATGAAATGGGTTGACTGTGCAGGCTGTGCCCAGGAGTTACAAGGAAGACAGCTGGGGCAACCAAGTCAGTTCTGTATGGGAATCAGAAGAAAAAGAGTCAGTGACAGTTAGTTAAGGGACAGTCGGAAGAGAGATGGGAGGGAGCTGCCATTCAGAGGGGACTTGAGCACGTAAGATGAAGAATCTCCACTGTTAGAAGCCTTTGCCAAGGAATGGCTGGTGAAGAAACAGCATGCTGGAAAAGACTTAGTGGGTGCTGTGGTGATTTGTAAAGTATGGAGATAAGCAATGATGCTGTAATTGCTTGCAGTTCTGAGTCATGTGCATAAGTGGTCAATAATACCAATATCCAATCCAAAAACTTGTCTATAGTCATTCTATATTATATGACAAGAGTAACAAATACACTGAAACCCACATTTAATTATCCTAAATTGAAGGTTTTCTTTCATTTAACTTTCAATTTCAATGCTTCCAAGCCAATAATCTCAGTGTAAAATTATCTTTATTGAAAATTGGTCTCCAAAGAAACCTTAAATGGGAGTACAACATTTTATCTCCCACAGTGACTTCCTGGATGTGTTCAGACTTACTGGATATACAGTTTCATGTATGAGGAACTCAGTGCAGTCATGCCTCTCTGCTACATTTGAACACCATCAAGGTGAAGTTTAGACACTGCTGCATCAAGCAGTGGGTATAATCTACGTTATGTACTGCCTGACCCTGGTGATCACAGGCACAGTAAAGATGGCACCTACAACTACTGCCTAATTATTTTCAGTCAGTAAGAGTTAATAGGTATTAGTTCGCTCCATACTTGTTTCCTGTTGATAGCCATGTTTAAGAAAAACCGAACAAATCAGTCAACATTGGGGGTTTGGCTGGGGACTAACATCTCAGCAGTGAAGACCTTAATTACAATACTTAATCTCTCACCTGTGGAGTATATGAACAACTCACATTAGAGTCACTTTGGCTTCTGCTTGTTTAAAATGAACATGTACATGAAACAAGTGCCAGAAAAAAATAATGTAATTTCCTTTTTATAACTTTACTCCATTCTGAACTGATCAGTTGTGGGTCAGACGGATATAGCCATTTCACTGCATGAATTGTCAAGACTCAAATTTGTTAAAAGTCACTTCAAATTAAATTCTTAGCAATGACTGTGGCTAGAATGTCATGCTGACCACTCACCTCCATCTTATGCTGAGGTTAATATGTGTAACTGTATCTCCACCCGATCTTCATGGTGTAGTACATAATTAAGCACAGGGACTTCAACATTGAACTTAATTTAAAGTTTTTTTGACAAAAGTGTGACACATTATTTAATACTATCATCTTTTACTTTGAACATTGTCCAAATTTGTTCAGAAAATGGTCCTATTTTCACCTTCAAGCAAGTACAATACAAATTAAACCTACTCTGTTGGACCCCTCAGTAGAGACACTTTCCATGGTTTAGAGTGTCTCTGTCTCGGGATCCAACAAAATAGGTTCTCTTCTGTATCCGTTCACCTACAGACACAAAACACAAACCAGTTAAAAAGAACTCACACAACGGACAAAGTTCATAATAATAGTTTTAAAGAACTTCACATTTGCAATTTCATTTAGACAGTAACACCTCACTAATTCGGACTAATTTGGAATGAACTCTTGTCCAAAATAGTGAGTCCGAATTATAGAAGTGCTAGTGAAAATATGTTGAGGGAAGTTGTAAAATGGACTTCAGGCAATATATCTTTATTTAGGAACCTAGATTGCATATTGTAGCATGTAGATCATTGCTAGGTATTGACACTGTAAACAATGGCCATTCTGAGCTAATAGCCACGAGAGATTTGTAACATGCACCAATGGAGTAACTGGGAAGTGGTGTTCTCTACGTGGTCTGTGAGACAGCTATGTGACAGCTATAGAAGAACAGTTTGGACAGATGTTTCTTGTCTGGTCTGTGCTGTGGTGTTATAAGCATGACTAGTCTAGAGTTTAGGTAGTTTGTGAGACAGCTGCCAACCAGCATGGATGTGAATATGGAAGCTACGATCATTTCTAGGTAATGACACTGTAAACAATGGTCATTGCTAGGTAATGAATGCAAGAGATTCATAACATACACCAATGGTGTAACTTGGAAGTGGTATTCTCTATGCAGTCCATGACACAGCTACATGATGCAACATGTCACAAAGTGACTCTGACTTCATTGGGAGAGGTGTTTCTTGTGCAGTCTGTGCCAAAGTATTATAAGCAGGACAAGGCTAGAGTTTAGTTAGTTTGTGAGATGGTCGCCAGCCAGTAAAGATGTGAACACGGAAGCTGAGGAAGTTATGACACTGAAAACCATTACCAGTCAGGCGACAACTGAAGAAGATAAGCAGACTGAAAAGACTTAGTGCATGCTGTTGTGAATTATAGTGTGTGAAATAGTGATAATGCTATAGATACTTGTAGTTACAATCTGTAAATGTTCAATAAATCCAATTACCAATCCAAACCCTTTCTATAGGCACTCATACATGTGACAATACCATAAGATAAATTTACTTCTCATGAAATGTAAAAATGTAAGTTTTGACATCAGTCTCACAAACATTTTAGTTAGAGGCAATGTGAACAAACATCAAGGTCCTAATGCGGGGGG